TCTAAATAATGTAATTGTATCTGACAATTACACTGTTACATTGGCAGTTTTAATTTACAGACTGAAGGCATGTAATTACTATGTGATATCTGACTTATTAATTACATGGCTGAAACCACTATGATTAGTTGACAAACATAAGTGGGGTTCGAAGCTGTTAGTGACAGCTGGGGTTGAGATCCACCAAACTTGCAAAGTGGCAGCTGATTGCTCCCAGGGTTTGTTATTATGCAGATTGCTGGCAGAAAGTAGGTTCACATTTTTTAATTATGGTAAAAAAAATAGCTGGGATCACACCCTATACCTACAATATACCAAGTACAAATTCTGTTGTTATATACACTATAGCATCTATATCCATGTAATACATTGCATACTACATTCTACGTTATGTGCCCCCACCATGCTAATAAAAAACCTGTGTGAGGTGGATGCTTCAAAAATTGAATGTAACCACCCTCTCAAAACACCAGCCCCCTAGTCTCAGCTCCACCAGTTTAATACAAAATGTTATGAACCTATATAAAGAGGTCTTTGAGATAAGGTACTTAAAGAACTGAGTGAGCTGAATGGGGATTGGCACCCTTCTTTTTTCAAAAACTTGTATGTCTGTGACAAATCATGTATATTTAAATTTGGTGTTTGTGCCCAGTGAGGGACAACAACTTTTGAAATCATGGACAAGATTTAACAACCCCCACACCAGAATACAACCAGCTCTATCAGACCAAGCTAAATAAACAAAACTTCTAGCAGGATCATAAACCTTGCTTTGGATCAGAACCTGTGCTGGGTCATGGCTAGTTGACAGTGGATACACTGTCTTCCAAGGCTGGTGTTTCCACTGCCTGCCAGCCACAACCCAGCACAGGCTCTCCCTCTGCTTTAGACACTGGCTTTGGTTGCTAGGACTGCTGGCTTCCTAGAAACCAATGACATCAGGCAGGCAGAGCCAGCTCCTTAGCTACAAGTGATCTGTGCGGCTGTTACACCACCCAGATCCCTTGTACTAGTCCGCTATTGTGTTGACCCCCTCGCTGTAGATTTTGGGTCCCCACTCCTCTTGGGGGCCCAGGGCCACAGCATATAGTGTCAGGATGAAGAGTAGGAGCAGACTGGGGAACGTCCATTCCTCAATCTGCTTTGTGAATACTGAAGCATAAAGCGCTGCTCTCATCACTTCAGAAGCTCAGCTGAAGTGTGGGGTATACAGTACAACAAGCACATTCCTGTGCTTGGTGATATGTATTGCGGGGCAGGAAAGACATCAGAGGTCTAATAGACCCCTGATGTCTCTATAAAGAGAAGCTGCCAGCTCCAAATGCTGTCACATAGTGGCTTGTTAGCCCCTTTGTGATAGCAAAAGTTATGTGAAAAAAATAAAAAAGTAAAACATAACAAAATAAATACACATTAAAAGGTGATAAAAAAATCATGAAAAAAGGTGATAAGTAAAAAAGGAAAAACAACCCTGGCGTTTAAGGCATGAATGTGTATGTAAATGTGTGATGCATCAGAATTGGCACATTAGCACTGTGCCTGGGAAGACACACCAGCAGCTTTCCTAGTCCTTCAATTTCAATTCACTACCCCTGTTCTAGGGGGTCCACAAAAAATTGCTGGAATTGGCAGTGGACAGTTCTCCATTTTCCATCAAAACCATGTTGGCTTGGTAAGGATCATTTATGAGCACTGATGATCTTAATACATCAAATTGGACCATGGTACCATGGATTGGACTCTGCTGGAAACAAAGTGCTGGCAAACTTGATAAGTACTTTTCACTTTATACCCCATTTATTTTGTAATTGTCTGTTTTTTGTAATATATTTTCTTTGAATGTTTTCTTTTTTGCACCATTTTTCTTTTCCTTTCATTAAAACAATATTTACCAAATTTTAAGCTGATTCTCTGATTGCTTTCATCAGAAATGAAAGAATTCATGCCTCTTTTAAGAAACCTAGTATAGTTTAAACTGTTTCATCCCTATCTGGCATGGCAGTGGATGCTGCAGAGATTGCTTAAAGGAGAACTATGGGGTCAGTACTTTTCCCCATAGTTCTCGGGTAACACAAGAACACATAGGGGTCTATTCACAAAGCTGCCGAGGGCAGCCGAGTGAATGACCGATCAGAAGTGAAGTGAGCCGAACACTGTTCGGCTATTCACTTCAGGCTGGTACGGCTGATTTCAGCCGTACATCGGCTGAAATCAGCCGTACATCGGCTGAAATCAGCCGTACATCGGCTGAAATCAGCCGTACATCGGCTGAAATCAGCCGTACATCGGCTGAAATCAGCCGTACATCGGCTGAAATCAGCCGTACATCGGCTGAAATCAGCCGTACATCGGCTGAAATCAGCCGTACATCGGCTGAAATCAGCCGTACATCGGCTGAAATCAGCCGTACATCGGCTGAAATCAGCCGTACATCGGCTGAAATCAGCCGTACATCGGCTGAAATCAGCCGTACATCGGCTGAAATCAGCCGTACATCGGCTGAAATCAGCCGTACATCGGCTGAAATCAGCCGTACATCGGCTGAAATCAGCCGTACATCGGCTGAAATCAGCCGTACATCGGCTGAAATCAGCCGTACATCGGCTGAAATCAGCCGTACATCGGCTGAAATCAGCCGTACATCGGCTGAAATCAGCCGTACATCGGCTGAAATCAGCCGTACATCGGCTGAAATCAGCCGTACATCGGCTGAAATCAGCCGTACATCGGCTGAAATCAGCCGTACATCGGCTGAAATCAGCCGTACATCGGCTGAAATCAGCCGTACATCGGCTGAAATCAGCCGTACATCGGCTGAAATCAGCCGTACATCGGCTGAAATCAGCCGTACATCGGCTGAAATCAGCCGTACATCGGCTGAAATCAGCCGTACATCGGCTGAAATCAGCCGTACATCGGCTGAAATCAGCCGTACATCGGCTGAAATCAGCCGTACATCGGCTGAAATCAGCCGTACATCGGCTGAAATCAGCCGTACATCGGCTGAAATCAGCCGTACATCGGCTGAAATCAGCCGTACATCGGCTGAAATCAGCCGTACATCGGCTGAAATCAGCCGTACATCGGCTGAAATCAGCCGTACATCGGCTGAAATCAGCCGTACATCGGCTGAAATCAGCCGTACATCGGCTGAAATCAGCCGTACATCGGCTGAAATCAGCCGTACATCGGCTGAAATCAGCCGTACATCGGCTGAAATCAGCCGTACCAGCCTGAAGTGAATAGCCGAACAGTGTTCGGCTCACTTCACTTCTGATCGGTCATTCACTCGGCTGCCCTCGGCAGCTTTGTGAATAGACCCCATAGTTTTCAGGTAACACAAACTGGCATCCTCCCGTCACCCAAAGCTCAGTATGCTGCGAGCCACCGCTCGTGGTTTACCGAGACGCCGCAGCCGGGTTCGCCCTAAAATGCCTACCAGACCTAAATGTTCTGGTATGAATTGGGGGGACCCCACACTGTTTTGTTTTTATTATTATTATTTCTGTGAAGAGTTAAAAGAGAACTATGGGGTAAGTGTTTTTCCCCATAGTTCATAGGACATATGCTAGCATCTTCCTGTGACCCAAAGCGCAGTATATTGCGAGCCACAGCTCGCAGTATACTGAGACCGCTGCAGCCGAAACGGACCCGACAATACTGTCTGGATCCACCCAGCTGTGTGAGTGACAGCTGGCTCTGCCTATCTAGAGGAAGAGCCAGCTGTACCCGCCCTCTTCCCCATCCGTTCCGCCAGTCAGCACTGGGGGATCGGACAGGGGAGGGGGGAATCCCTGCAGGGAGCCGTGAGTGACAGTCACGGCTCTCTGCAGGCACAGGATCAAGAATTGAGCGAGTGACGGTATGTGTTCGCTCACTTCCCGATCTATTGAGCTGACGTGTGACAGTTTTTCACTCGCCTCATAGTTCTCCTTTAAGGCCTCATTCACACAGCATAGAATGGGGCCGTACAGATCTGTGCGTTGTACACGGCCGTATCAGGCCATTCCCAGAAGGACAGGTGCTGCGTGTGATTGTACGCAGCAGCCTGTTCTTCCCTATAGGCGGACGTGGCCGTACGCAGTCATACGCTCACCTGAGCTGCACATCCGTGTGGGTGCGGGTGTCCATACTCGGACGCAGACATGTATATACTGTATATATGGATTTGTATGACAGATACTGTGAAAGGTGCAGGTTTTCATTAGCACATGTGGTGGCAGCTATTGTTTGTGTG